CACACTCCCGCTCCCGACATTTGAGCCATCACTAGTTGCCCGATGCCCGAATCCGGGACTAACGCACACACGTTTAGTCATCAGCCCATCCACAAGTAAGCGAGTGTCCAAACTCATATTCTGTACTTCTAATTGGCTTAATGCTGCAGAAGCTTGCATCTGTATACACTCTTCTTTTTCTTTTCCCCAAAGTTATAATAAAAAAAAAGAGATTCAATGTTAGATAATTGGGCTATTGAGTTATTCCTCTTTCACCGGATTCTTATCACGGTTATTTAGGTTAATTTTTAGGTAAGTACGATAATTTTGATTTATCACTTGTCCAATCTGTTCGTTGAGTTCTCCACCCATCTGACAATCTTTTTCTTTAATATAGCATTCCCCTTTAACTAGTCTTACCATTGAATCATTGGTGGACCGAACATTGACACATTCTCCGCTGTTTTTTGTTTAACCAACTAAATTTGGCGGTATCCGTTATCCTGTGCTTGTACATACAATTATAACAACCATTGGCTTTAAAGAGTGTTATCAAAACCATACAGTGAACCTGCGAACCCCGGATATAACGAATTTGGCTTATTATTATTATTATAACAAGCTTTGTTGTTGCACAGAAAATTTAATAGTAACAGTAAATTGTTTGGATATAATAATAATAATAACAAAGTTAACTACAAATCCCTCGATATTGGACAAAGACTCGATAAACCGAAAGTTTGTGCAACAAATTGTTATGCATTATATCTTGTACTACAAAGATCTTCGTCATACAAATAAAATGATGTAATTTCTGAATGGAGTTGTCAAGTGCTTACTTAATCTGTTGCACCGAATAAAACTCATGAAACTGAAATCGAAGTTGTTAATCCCATTCCGATAGAGCGTGAAAGCGTTCAATCGGAACAGATTGTTACCAGTTCAGAGGCTTGGTAGGAATTGATAGCGTTTTGGACATTGCTAATAGAGAAGAACAACGTCACAAAGCAGTCTATAATTGGCATGTCAAATAACACTTGATGAATTTGAATTTGTAAATATTGAACAATGAAGTACGTGTACAATGAAGATACAACAGAACTTCTTTATAACAATTTGTAATATCATATGGAAATACCGGATCCGGAACGTTAAGCCGTTCATCCGAGTAGAAATCAGAATAAGAAAGATAACGAAGAAGGCGAGTTGCCTGTTATTTCCGTTAAAAAGCTCTAGAGAAAGTTGTGTCATTTCTTGCTGCAACAACTTGGGGAAATTAAAAGTTAACTCATGTAAAGAATACTAGAAAAAAAGTTTTATTGCGTTCAGGTATTTCTCGTAGTATACACATGCATGTTAGTTGGGCCTATTAAAGTTATGTTTATTTTTGATATGCATGTTTGCGTTATGCAGATAGCTAATAATAGATGGGTTTATGCAATTACAAACAAAAATATCGAGGGGTTAGGTTTATTTTTGATACATATGCACGTTTTGCGTTATACAGATAGCCAATAGGTCCCAAAAATGGGGGTTTATGTAATTACAAACATAGTAATAGTTGATTAATTGCCTTTTCTTTAATAAAAAACTAGCGGAAATTGGTGAAAAAGGTGTGGACTTATTACTTGGTGACTTTTTTTTTTGAGGATCGTTCTCTCTTTTCTGTAACAAAATCTAAAAAGGCTCTGTAATGCAGCGTTGAGAACGTAGCTATCGACCATCAAAAAGCTTTAGCGATTTGAAATTTACTATCCCAGTTTATGTTGCGCAATTACAAGAATGATTCGTTCGCGGAGTCTTTATTTGATTTGAAATTTACTATCCCAGTTATGTTGTGCAATTCCAAGAATGATTCGTTCGCTCTTTATTTTTACAGCTAAGAAAAACCTAATAAAAAGCGTCCCTACTCTCTCATTTTCCCCCGCCATCTTCCTGCCCTTTCATATCTCCGATTTCTTCCCTCAACATCAAGCTATCTTTGCACAATGCATCATTTCAAGTTTACTTTTACTATTCTTCTACTTTTCCTTATGGCTTGGGATACTGTTGCTCATAATAATAAGTGCAAAGGAACTACTACTATTACCAAGACAGCTAAAAAAACATTGACATTCTATCAAGCTCCCACTCCAGCTCCCAAAAGACGTTCTCACAATGAAATTCTTCTTTGCAGTCGTAATAGCGCTAAGCAGCTGAGCTTTAAAAACAATGACCATTTACATTGTCCCAAGAAAACTGTAACTTGTACCCCAACAACTACCATTACCGCTCCACCGACGATCACTACTACCTGCACAACCATCACCACCACAACCACCACAACCACAACCACAACCACCACCACAACCACCCCGCCTGAAATTCCTCCATGTTGTCAATCTCAAAATTTCGCCGCCGCCGTCCATAGATACGGGGTTACGGATTCAGTTACCATTTCTACTGCGACTGCACAAGATTGTTGCATAGCTTGTTTTAATCGCAGCGACTGTCTTCAATGGGTATTTGCTGCTAGTGGAAGCTGTTTTCTTGATATCAATTCGCAGACGTGTAGTAATGAAAAAAACCTTGTTCAGTCACCTTCAATCGGTGAAAATCTGAGATGTAGTGATGGTTGTTTGAATAATTAATAGCTTACATTTTTTAATTAATTTATTAATGTTTTAGATAAACCTAATCTAAATTAATAGTATTTTTAAATGAATTATTTTATACAAACTTTCTTCTGTTACATTACCTTGGGTTGTTATGCCACTTTGATACAATAAATGCATACTGTTGGCAAGTTTGTCGCTACCTTGGGCAAACATTTGCATAAATTTACACTAACATTGTGAAGTGTATATACTGCATAATTGTTAACGGATCCTCTGTTTTCAATCAAATCTTCCGTCTCTAATTTACTTTGTTGTTAATCACGCAAAAAAAATTAAAAGGGTAATAGTAATAGTAAAGACTGCCTATCATAGTTTTCTCGTGCATTTTAATCCCGAAATTTTAAACTAGCATTGGGTTTTCTGATCATGATCCTATTTTTATCAATGTTATGCATATTGTTATCATTTGTCTCTTTGAGCAGTACGTACGTATGTGGCTTCTAATCACAGAGCTCGCCATTAACATTAAGTGATCAATATTTAAGCAATAATTATACTATGAAAAGGGATTACCAATGTTTGATATGAGTAGTATTAATATGATGGGATAGCTATCTGTACGATTTTAACTATTTTTTAGATATTGATTTATGAAGTGAAGATTCAAAAAATTTTATTCTAAAAATTATAATATATTTTATGTGGAGCAAACATATAGACTATACGGTATGTTGTTTAATTTGACCAAACTGCCGGTTAAACGGTTTATAATAATAAAACGATTCTAATACAATCTCATATGATTTGAAATTTCAGTTTCAAACATTACAAAAAATTTGATGTGTTCATTTAAGGTAAAGACAATCCTATAACTACTCTTGTAACTTTACATCATGGGCTAAGATATTTTTTTTCTTTTAAAATTAGATCATACAAAAAAAAAGAGCAAAATCAATATACGTAATACCTTTTTCAAACCCGTACAAATCGCCAATACTCTTTCGGACATTACACACGTAAGTGGCTTGAAGCAAAGTTTCCTTTTCCCTTCGGAAAGGTGGAAATCTTTTCTACCAATTGCTTGGTCGATTATTGTTCGCTTGATTTTGAATGATAACGTGGATACGAAATCATTGCTTCTCAAATGACGACACAAACGTGATCTTGTTGCTCGATGCATCAATTCTAACTTGGTGGAATAATTTACAAAAAATAAAATAAAATTTCCCCTGCTTGTCAATTACTGCTTGCTTGCTCCCTTGTTTTGATCGCTTGCGCTTGCTTGCTTGATCAAATGACGACGCAAACACAAAATTATCATTATTTTCTAGCTGATGGTTCTGGCAATTCGAGAAAAATTTTCGAGACTCGCCTCGCTTGCTTGCTCAATTGCTTAATTACTCACCTTGCTTGATTGACAACCAAACAGAATTTCATTGTTATTATCGGCCTGAAGGTTTTAGCGCTTGTGTTAGGGAATAATTTTCTTATCACTTCTTGAACTTGGTTCAGGAATTTTTTTTTCTCGCCGATTGTTCGATTGCTTGAATTGCTCACTTGAATGATTGGCCACTTGATTGCTTGCTCGATTGACGACGCAAATGCGAAGTTGCATCATTGATTGATGACGCGAGCGCAATCTTATTATCGCTCGAATAATGATGCAAACATGTCGAGATAATATACTGTAAATAACTATAGTATTAATACGCTAAGTCATGTGAAAACTGAATAAGACATTAGTGCATCGCATAAATATTAACGTCGATTATCGCTGTCATTGTTATAAATAATTACCAATTTTAAACACATCAACTGCTTAGGTGATTTCAATACCTTCAATAGTTCACTGGACATTGATTTAATATAAGATCTTTATTGACAGCTACAAATATCTTGAACCATCTGCAACATTGTGTCATGCACTGCTTACATGTCTTTATACGGTTCAAAAAAGTTTGATACAAGACGTATAAAATTTTTATTTACATAATAAATATCAATCTAACTATTTCATTCCTTCAAAATACTCTCCTTTAACCTCTATACAATGTCTCAGCCATCTACGCCAACTCTGAAAGCACTCAGCATACTCTTCTTGCGATATACTATCGGTTATTAAATTTATAGCACGGGCGATGCATACCCATTACATACCCATATTTTTCAACATAATTCTTCAAGAGAATGTTAACCGGGACACTTAGGTGTGCGCATGCTATCATGTGAAGATGCTGTGCAAGAAAGAATTTACATGATTCTCTTCCTGAAGGACATAGTTGACGCCATAATTTTAATGGTGAATTCATCCACGCCGATCCATCTAATACGATCAGGAAAGAATCTACCTGATTACCAGGCTTTGCTTCCCAAACTCGAAGAGTGTTTGTTTTGACCCAATTGCTCCAGCCATTGTCGTCCCCAATGGACACTAAAAATGGATCACAAGCCAAAAACAATCTACCAGGTGCTCCATAGTAATAGGTACTTAATGACGACTTTTGACTTGTGTGGCGCGGCATTGTCATTCTTGGATGAAACTGTGAAGAAATTAAACCATGTTTCATCCCCAGTAATAATATTTTGAAAGCCATTGTCAAGATACTCGAGAGTTGTCTGGAAAACTCAACTCTCTTTCGCTTATTGATCCGACAAAGAGTATTTATAGCACAAGTTGCTTTGGAAATCACCTTAGGTCGTACAATTTCTCATTCGTACTTAATGAGAAACCACTTTGGACACCGGTCAAACGGGTTCGATAATTATCGCTATACTTTGTCGTTTTTGTAAGGATTGTCCGATTGATTATGATGTATCGATATTATCCAGTCTAATCAGAATATAGCAAGCCACAATCTATGTTTATTGAAAATTTCGGTATTAGTATGCGGTTACACCCCGGCTTTGCGATGGGAACCTGACATCACATGGTTATGAAGCTTAGCAGAAACCTTCGCTCGCCTACAAGACACCGTAGAATGTTGTAAGAAGAATCTTCCATATATGTGGTGTAACACTCCCGTCGCCATATATAGTGCAATATCCAATAATAATTGGTCGGTTCATTCTCAAGAAAATGTTCCGAAAAGATGCCTCTTCAAAGTCGTCTAAAAGTAAAACACCATACATACCCTCACAGTATCCAACTACTTCCGACAAACCCTCATCATTAAAGTCGTCGTCGTCACGCCCGTCTTCTCATTCTGCAAAATCAAAATCTCATCGCTTGAATTTTCTCACTGGGCGGTCCTCATCTTCCCAACCTAAATCGCTAGTCTGGACGTTATGGAACGTAACGCTCAACCTTCATGTGAATGATATATTTGGGTTTGGTACTTTGGGCAATGCTTTGATTACTCTAGCTACAGCACATTTCAGTTTTCTAGAGAGACAACCGCCATTCATAAGGTGGAGTATCATGATGTGGGAAATGGCAATCGTTACTATATGTGTAGTCTATATTGGGCGACTAGTCGATATAGTTTTGGTTTTTGTGAATATTATGAACGATGGAGTAAGAGGAGTTGCTAGTATATTTGTTGGAGTTGTATACCATGTTGGCATGTTGTTTAGCGTGGGTTTGTAAAGTGGTTGGTATATTAATATTTGTTGGATTGTATATTAGTATTGGGTTGGCAAGTTTAGTGTGAATTACGGGCAGTTTGGCATGTTTTAGTGTGGGCCTTGTCTGTATGTCTCTTATCAAATGCCTTTCGTGTTACGCAAGGCACCACCCAACGGGCGCTTGTGCGTGAGAGTTAAATAATTATAATATGATTATCAACTATAAGACATTCCAGTTGTGATTACCCAATTAAAAAGTTTTTAATATGATGTGAAATATCGATCTTGATTAGATGCCTTTTAATAATTGATTAGATGTCTTCAATGTAAGTTGCGATAATCACACTGCATCAGCAATATATCGCAATGAAGCGAGCAAAAATTTCGTATCCCGCCTGTCACGCGGAGACCGGGATTCAATTCCCGCTCGAGAGTTCGTAATAGTCATCGAGTTTTATAAGCTGCGGATAAGATGATCGAATAACCAGACAATAGTAATAGGGTGTAACGTTGTGCGGTTAATACATGAGAGATTGATGTGTACAATAGCGCCAATCTTGTTTACAAATTTTAATAAAGCACACTTGATTATATTTTCTGTGTAGCCAACAAAGTGAGTTTTAAAACTGCAACAGGGAAGAATGGTGTGGGATTAACGTTTGTTCTCCCTTGTATGGAAAGATCAGGTTGTGAACAAGCTCTGAAAAGTTCGTGAACAAAAACTTGGCATTCCCCATACTTATCAATATACCGATAAGAGTATCGATTGCGTTATGTATGTAAGATGATGATGTTGTTATTGTTATTGTTGCTGCTGTTGCAAATCTACGCTGCTTTTGTAAACGTGGCGCCACCATCCAAATAGTTGCCTTTCTTGGGCTATGAATGATATTAGTTCTTGTGCGATTCTGACAATCCTTATTAATACGATCCAAATATTCATGTGGGCAGTGGACATCCAACTGTTCCTATTGATTGTAGACCAAAGAAACCAATTTCAACGTATTTAATAACCTAGTCTTTATAAATATCAACCAATCAGTTATATAAGTCTGAAGGAATGTGTTATTTTAACCAAAAAATAACTATTTATTAATTTTTGAACACGACAAATATCATTATTTTAACTATTTAAAAAGTCTTTTTTGATAATCTCGTTTGCGATATAAAACATCTAGTTACTTTATTGGTACATAGAATGGGTACATGTACAGCGAGTCTTGATTAATAATATACAACTTTTACAAAGGCTTATGGTAATGATAACTTTGAGTTCACTGATGGCAGAATACAATAATTAAAATGCTACTTAAAGGGTCTGACAATTACTAAAGATAAACTGAATATGGTGGACCAATTCGCAAGCGTGCATAAGGCAAAATATTTGAATAAACATTCCAAATTAATGAGAGTAGTTGAAAAAACAAAACCCAGATGCTTAAGCGGTTCGGTTGTGAGCGTCTTGATACGAGGTATACACAAGAGTGAAGAAGCTCGCTATCTGAGTAAAGTGACAAATAAATCAAACCAATCAATTTTTTGCTTAATAAGCGAACGAAAAATCAGGCCCGTGCAGAGTTTGAAATAATTAAAAGCCGTGGAACAATCATACAGCGCTCAAGGGTTCGTCGAACTTGAACTCTCAGAATTTTTTTTTAATAGGAAGCGCCAATTGCAATGCCGGCTGCATTCACGCTCATTTTCCAGTAGCCCACCAACTGTTATCAACCTATTGTTGCTGTAATACGGCTGGTATATATCCAGTTGAAAAAGCTTGTACAACTTCTGCATTGTGTTGGTAGATCTTAATAATAGTCGGGGAAAAAGCCTTTTCGAGAATCTTTATCAGCATGAATTTTCTCGTCACATGTCCATGCTCCGGAACTGACCGGGGGCCGATAACACTTATCGCTATTCTATAATATTTGAGTTGAAATTATACACGGCTTATTATATACATCATCTTGCATAAACAAGATCAAGATTATTTCCTTTTTTGGTGCATTGTTTACCAACATAAAGATATATAATTATTAACTCTCCCCTCAACGATCTCGCCCTTATCGCTGGAAGATAAAGTACAGGAAATATAAATGGCAAGCAAACTAGCTTCTCCTACACAGGCTGCTACTGTAAATGTGTTGGTTATGCCAACCTGGATACAACAAGCTGCGGCAGGCACTGTTGCTGGGCTGTCACAAGTATGCGTCGGTTAGTATCAACGGGGAACTTGCTTATAACGTATGACTTGCGCATACGGTTTAGCTATCAAGTCAGGTCAAAGTCGACATTACAACCAATATCATTAACTGTCTCCTATTTCTTATATCTCTCTCTTTCTCCTTATATCTAGGCCATCCGTTCGACACCATCAAGGTCCGTCTTCAGACCCAAAAACAAAATCCACCGCTATATGATAATGCCACAGACTGTCTGAAGAAAACGCTAAGAGCAGAAGGGGTACTTATCTTTGTAACACTTTTCAATCGCGCGTAGTTTATTACCATTTACTCACGTGGGAAATCAATGTAGGTTCGAGGGTTGTACAAGGGAATCACTTCCCCCTTAATGGGGATTGGATTTTGGTGCGTATATATACATATTATATATGTATGTTTATAAAACAGTCTTGCGCTAACAAAATTTATCCCAAACTATTCCAGTAATGCAATAATATTCACCATAAATGGGCGTATTCGATCGCTGATACGAGGACCAGACACAAGGCGACAGTTGACGTTATGTACGCATAATAACTTTGTAAAGCATTCATGTGCGGCGTTTCCAAACTGATAGCAATCTCTTGTTTAATTTTTACAGCAGAAATTGCTTCATCTGGTGCGTTCACGGGAGCGTTCATGGGATTTGTCAACTGTCCGGTGGAGCTCGTCAAGATCCAATTGCAGTTGCAGAGAGATAACGCCGTAAAACTCTATAATGGAGCTTTCGATGCAACTGCTAAAATCTATGCAAAACACAATCTGCGCGGATTGTATAGAGGCCTAACAATAAACATACTCAGAGATATGCCAAGTTTTGCTACCTATTTCTGTAAGTTGATTCACGTGTGCTAGCCCGAATCAAATATACGTTCTTCTAATGTTGTTTGTTCCTTATCTCATAGTTGTATACGAGGGGGCAAAGAGAGGGTTGGCGGCTCGATACCACAACGGAAACACAAAACAACTGAAATTGTCTGAGTTATTATTGGCTGGTGGAATGGCAGGGATCGCATGCTGGATACCCTGCTATCCTCAAGATGTCATAAAGAGTCGAATGCAGTCGGAGTTGACGTAATTAGCAAATCTCATTTTTTCGATGCGAACAGGGTTTATCGGTTCATATATGTATATCGACTTATTGTTCTTGTGTCATCAATCTCTAGGAGCCGTTCCACATTCAATGCTGTGCAGACACTCATAGCTGAACAGCGTGCAAGTGGCAAGCCAATCGTACGCGCATTCTTTAAAGGGTTCGGTCCGACGATGGCACGCGCGTTCCCTGCAAACGCAGCCACATTTTTCGCTTACGAAATGGCAATGTCTGCCATGGGTGCTCATGATCCGGACGAGGAACCAAGAGGAGAATTTAATTAATATTGAGGATTAAGGAGGATTAAGGAGAATTAAGGACAATATTATTTTTTTAAAAAAAAAAACCAAACATTAATACTTTTACCATTTGAAATTATGTAATATACGCATAACACGTCTTCCTTTTCATAACAATACATTACCATACGTGTACAAAAAATGAATTTTTGGTATCAAGTTTACCTTTTCTTTTAACAAAATTATCACCTCGTGTCGATAGCATATCATAGGGACAAACTAAACAATGTACACAAAGTGACAGCACATCAAAGGAAAAGATTACAGATTATGTTGTAAATCTGACAGGAAGATGCTGTAGTGGAGAAGAAAAAATCGGGGCATCTTACAACAAAATGAACATGGCGTCCCACATTTTATTAAAAGTGGGACATTCTCAAATAAACAATGATGCGTTCTGACGCAATTATAATATTATCATGTCCCACGATTTTTGGTTTTGCCTCGCCTGTACGTTTGAAAAAATGGCAAGCCGTCGTGAACTAACCATTTTTGAACGTGGAAAAATGATTGTCGGACTTTCCAAGGGCGATCATGGCGCTTCTGATATTTCTCACCAGATGTTGCCGCTCGTTCTGAGAGACAACATCCCCCTTTTACCGCATGTTTTCGATTTCTGGTGGGTAATCGCGTTTGCTGATTTGTTTTCTAATTTGAAAGGTTGAATACCTATTTTATATTATATGACATAATTGATTTTGTGAATTTTATAAAAAATGACGTGAAGTAGTGACATATGAACACGTATGCACGTGTGTATGTAACATGCCACTTCATCAAACTGTAACGTTGAGACGATAACAGGACTGAGTATATCATTATTTTTTCAAAAAAAAAATAATAATCTGTCGTATTATATGGATCTCCATAGTAACCATATTAATATATACAATAGCTATCTTTAATAATTGATTTAGCATTTAACTAGTGTTTTGCGCGTAATTTATAATTAAAAGTACAATTGCAGATGTGACTTTAAAAGTCTTTTAGTAGCGAATTTGGTTTGATTCTACTTATGGATTAAGACATGTGTGTACTCGATGAGTAATGCTAAATATTGAATAATCCGTGAAAGGCCCGGGATTCTCACAATCGAAGATGCTTGCTTATCAAAATATACAATCATTTGATATGTAAGTGTCCAGGGAAACTAAAGGCTGGGAAAGTGGTTGTCGGCATGAAAGCAGAAGACAAAAAAAAGTTACAAAGGAATTTTACGACTACTTTTTCGCCCTCATGAACTTTTGTTTAGCATTTCTATTAGTAGACACGGGACATGTCTTTTTTTTTTTATAATTTAGAACTTTATTGACTAACTACAGATAAACTGCTAAAGCTAGTTTTAACATATATGCAAAACATATAGAGGCACAATAAAGAGCTTGGCTACAAAACCTGGAATGAAAAATATGGATATGATTACTAATTATGATAATATGTTATATTAATATGTATATGTATATTCATTATGTATTTGCAGAGTCAAATGTATGACTATAAGAATGGAGAAGGATTCTAATGATGGAGTTGGTTGAAGGTCATGGTAAGTATGGAGTAATAATTTTATATGAGAGGAGGAGGGAGACTAAGGAAGATGAAGAATCTGAAATAGAGGAGGGGTTAGATGAACCAAAAGATGTTGAGGTGTATGAGGTCCAGATGGTCCAGAGGACTGCTGATTGAATTAAACGAGCAATATGCTTAATATTTGAAGGATGATGGTGGAAGATGGAGAGGAAAGGTATGATATTAAAAGGGAAAAGGTTCCAAAGATATTTATAGCTATAAATATCCCACTTAGTCTGGACTATAACCATCCCAATGGGAGTTAGCGCTTAAATCGGTTAAAATAGGAATATTTTTGATGAAATTAGCGCCTAAATCGGTTAAATTCATCCCAAGACGATGAGTTTGTGATTACATCGTCATTCGAGTGACGATGAGTTTGCGATTGCGTCGTCATTTAAGTGGTGACGAGTTTGCATTTGCAGGGGTTGGCTTGCTGTGGAAATAGTTGAAAAAAAATTTGTTATTTGGCCAAGTTGCATTTGTGTCGTCGTTCGAGTGACGACGAGTTACAATTGCGTTGTTATTGCAGAAGTTAGCCTGCATGAGTTAGCCGGTAGAGATAGCTGGAAAAAAAAATCAAGTGACGACGGGTTCGCATTTATATCATTGTTCAAGTGACGACAAGATTGCGTTTATGTCTAAGATGTTTCTGTAATTACGTATTCAAATAAATAGTCTATGTACAGTGTGGGACAAAAAAATCCGGGATTACGAAATTACACATTACGCAAAAACTAATGGTGCTAGTAAGATGAAATTTACGTATTTAAAAGCTGAAAATCAGTAGATTTTATTTTAAAAAAATCAGTACGGAATGCGTTCACCATTACTTTCTATGACAAGCTCACATCGGCAGTTTCACTGATAGTACTAACCAATTAGGTTAGTCGTGGAATATCATCCCACTCATTGATCATAAAACGCCATAAATCACCAATATTTTCTTCTCTACATTTCTTCTAACATCATTACAGAGATTCTCTGTTGGATTTGAGTCAAGACTGTTAGAAGGGCCAGTCTATAACTTTAGGCATGTTATCCCAAAGAAAGTTTTTAGTATGTTTTAGGTCATTGTCTTGTTGAAACGCCATTCGTCTCTTAATTGGTCATCAATGTCTGGAAGATGTCTTCGGAGTATGTATACATAAAATTGTTGCCCATTATTTCGGGGAAAACAGTATAAAATTATCTTATCCCTTACGCAGAAGCAAAGAGCTTTATTCGATCCTTTAGGGTTAGGGTTAACGGTTCCAGATTGTTCGAGGTTTTTAATGTTATCATAAACCATACTGTGGGATAACCTTGCGTTTATGAATCTCCACACCATTCCGAATGCTTTGATCTTACAATTGTTGTATTTGTCTTGTGTCTGGAAGTCATCGTTCTATTTGATGTTTCTTGAAGCGTTTTTGAGAATGTTAAAGGAATTTAAGAACTAGTATTCGTGAAAAATACTTATAAACAAGCAGTTCAAAGTAAATAAATATAAAATCGCTTATCTGACAATCATTTTACATTTTACATTGTTTAAATCGACCTCGAATTGGTGGAGATATGCACGATTGAATGTTACCAAAAAAATCCCGGTTTTTTTTGTCCCACACTGTATATTGTTCATAATTTTAGATCGATTAAGAATATATTGCCATTCTCTTTTCCCATCCACTATTCGCACTTGAATCCGACTAATGCCGATTTCAGATAATTGTTTTTCCGAGAATAGTATTATGCAACGATTTTTTATTACTAGTTTTACACCAAGTAAGATACTCGTGATACAACTTTGCGCAATTAGATTTGGAAACATTCTCAGACCGTAGCAAAATGTATCCAACTATAAATCGAATTTGGTTGGGGCAAACCAGAGATAATCTTGGTCGATATCATTTATTTCTTCATCAGCTGTATAGTATTCTTCATCGGAGCTCATCTTAATCATATTTTTTATGCTTTCAATTAACGTCAAAATGTCGGACGTGTTTGTCACCGTGAAAAATTCTGTCTTCATGAAAAAAAATAAAAAATCATGGTGATGTTTCATGGTGATGTTTCATGGTGATGTTTCATGGTGATGTTTCATGGTGATGTTTCATGGTGATGT